TGTCTTCTGTTGTATTATTCAGCATGGAAACTTGGAACAAACCGTTGCATGATTTAACCCGGCTTTTAATTTTAATACAGACTGTTGGGGGCAATGCTGTCGAAACTAGAGGTAGACCGCTATGGTTTATAATATCGCATTAACGGTATAACTGAAAAGTTAAAACTTCCGCTCAGCATTGTTTTAAGTTCAAACAAAAAAAAAAAAAGTGCAGCGTAACCCCTTGTACAGCAGACCAGGTTGTTCATTTTTGTTAGCACTTGGCGATTCCGAGGAATGAAAATGGTATTACTGACAAAATGTATTCCAATTAAATTGGTCTCATAGGAAACAATGGGAATTGAAATAATCCGTTCTCATCGTCCAATTGGATCTGTTTTTAATTCACGTTTAAACATTTGTCACTGTCATACAAGGGTAAAAAGAAGTTAAATACAACTAGTAACGACAAAAGAAAAAAACAAAACAGATTATAGGTGAAGAATGAGCAGAGGTGCCTCGGAGGTGGGTCTCTCCACATTTATGTTCAACCCAAAATGAATTTAATTGCTCGAAACTGACTTTAGATAAAGCCTAGTCTCCGCATGACGTGGAAAAAGTGAGTCGACTTCATTCATTTTCTCTCTCTTCTCTCTCTCTCCCTCTCTCTTTATCTACATATTTAAAATACGTACACGTGTGTGTGTTGCGGCAAAATGCTTCCGTAAAGACTAGTGGAGTTTGTGCTTCACGCCGCCAAATGTTAAACGTGAAAGGTGGCATCGAACATGCCGAGCAAACGGATTGGAGGGATGAGTAATTGCCGGCGTATTGTAAGCGACAATTTGCGCAGCGAGCGGTCGGAAGGGCGAAGGGTGAGTGAGTGACGTGCGCACTGTGACATTAATCTGCCTCAACGGCGAGCGGACACCCGCGGGGTGATCGCAAGACGATTAGATTGGGCGTATCTCCACGGATATTTCTTGAAATGGAATGCATGAAGGACTCTTGTGCACGCGTTCATACATTGATGCTTGCTATTGCACATGATTCATACGTTTACGAGGCGTAACTTCATCCCGTGACCACCAATACGCAGTAAGCCTCACTCCGATGTCAAATAAAATCTGAATGTGTTCAGAATGTATTAGTCTGCAGAGCTCAAATGGCAGCATGCATATTCATTACGTATGCATACTCTATATGGCTTAAATATACAATATGAAGCCCCGCCACACACTGCCCTTTACTTGAACCCCTTTACTACATATTATAGATACAGTAAGTGGTACTCAAACTTTCTACAACGTTCTACTTCACTGTCCGAGGACCACCATGAGTAAAAAAAGTGTCTGTTTGCCCCGCCTCCTTGTTCTGCCTCTCTTCATTCATTATCGTGATGCCTGTGGGCGGAGCTTGGGGGCGGGCCCGCTGTGACTGCTCATCTGAAGTGTGAAGAGAAAAAGTGAGCGGCAAAATGTAAAAAATAAATAAAATCATAATAAAAAGAAAGGAAAGGAAAAAGGATGGTAAAAATAATAATAATAATAAAAAGAAAGAAAAGGAAAAAGGATGGTAATTTCACTCAGGGAGGCAGTACTTCATTACCAAAACGCCAAAGGAGCCCGTTTGGGTGGCGGATCACTCTGTGCTGCTTTTCAAAAGCTAATGCAAACGCGGAGAAACTCGGGCGCAGAACCTCGGTACTTTGAAAATGATCTGCACTGTGATGTCGCAATCTTACAAAATTCTGAACATTTTTGGAAAGGGACAGGACACAGAAGGTTGACTATGTTATCTATTTTTTGTGTTCATATACCAGCAATTCGCCCACAGTGTTGAGCCAAGGAACACGTCACATAAAGATTTTGTGCCTTTGGCCATTTCATTGGTTCTGCCCGCCACGATACGTCACTGGCGGAACAAATGCACAGCACATTTTTAAATAAATAATAAAAGGGCCCAATTAAGAGATTCACATGAACAATATGTCACCAGTCAGTTGAGCGGTTTGCGCTATCCTGACCTTTGCATGATGTGATCCCGTGCTGCATTCCCAGCGCCGCAGAACGTGTGGAGGTGTTATGTAATGTAACGCGGCCTCAGTGAGTGTCGAAAGCCCTCAAGCATATCAGTGAGTAACACTGGTTGCGATTCCCCTTGAGGGAGGAGCTCCACAATTCCATCATGCCACAATGATGCAATACTGCCTCCGGTGGAACAAATCAGAATTGCATGTTTTTCATGTTTTCACGCCGTATCTCTTTTGGGGTTAATTCCCCCCCGCATCGCATTCTTCCCTGCAGGCTACCGATTCAGACCTCTTCTCCAACGTCACCTACCGGATCAAGTCGGAATCGGCCCGCCGGCTCTTTTCCCTGAACGCAATCACGGGAGAATTGGCCGTGCTGCAAACTCTGGACTTTGAGGATCTGACTGCTATGGGAACGGGAGCCTCGTACACCTTCCAGGTGGAAGCTGTCGACCAGGGAGGCGTCACGGCCCCGGGGCAGGCTACCGTCACGGTCCGGATCACGGTAAGAACTGACATTCATCCCTGCCGCAAGCTCTCAGAGCGGTGTCGTATATTTCACTCGGAGGACTTCAAATCAAGTCAAGTGAGGAACTCTCAACTCAACTTAACTTTATAAACAATTTTTGAAAAATAACCACGGCTGAAGTATAGGGTTGAATTTGGAGTAAATATAGCTCGAACAAGAAAACACACAACAACACTGGTCAACACATTTTTATGGCATTTCTCTTCTGAAACGCGATAAATAAAACAAAACAAATAAAATCTAAATCTGTTTGAATAACTTGATGAACATTGTCAGGGTCACCAGATTTGAAACGCATCTTAACTTTATTTTATTTTCGATTAATGAACTCACAACTTCAATCAAATCGAACCAAAACACATTTTCCGATTCATATCGCGGATGTCGTCGTCATCGCTCATCGATATTTAGTCGAAAGTGCTCGCTTTTGGTGGGTGGCTTTAGAAGGTAGTCGAAGGTATTTCCCCTGTGCATTTTTTTTCTTCTCTCAAATGTCTCTTACAAACTCCCATTGTTTTCCAGTGTTTGGTATGGTAATGTTTAAAAAAATAAAATAACGCCCCCCCCCACAGCATCAAAAGGACAAGCATCCCTGCCATGAACATTTTTATTTTTGCCTCAAAAATGAACAATTGAATAAAACATGCCGGAACATCGTTGCTGAGAGGATTTTTTTTTTCTCTTAAGTTTGGATCATATTCGCAATGTTTGGGACGTACCAACATAGTCAAGGATGTTGTCTTAATGATGTGCAAGCCTCCTGTGCTCACTGATAATGATCGTTTTTATGAGATACTTGTCAGCTATAAGGCACGGCTTTGTCTGACTTCAAAATAGCCGCCTCAACGTAAGCCCCCGCGTCGATCAATTTCGCATGAACGGGGGGAGCTCATCGGGCCAACCTGCCAAACGGCAACGTGCCGAGTGGAGTTCGTCCTTCGCCAAGGGTCAACTTTGTTGCCGACACCACCGACCTGCGTTTGATTGGCAAAATCAGATCAATCCGCCCTGCCGATAATCAAACCGCGGTCGGCTGTTTGAAAATGCCCAGACTCACACGAGCGTCTCTGTGACCGATTCCGCTTCTCGAATAATATCTCCGGAGGGCTATTTGAAGTCTCTCCCGTTTGATTTCCTCTCGTATTGTTTTGTCGTTGGCGCGTTCGGAGGACGCTCTGCGGTGCGGATTGTCCTGTGTGTCCTCGGCGTCAGAATGAACTCGTTTTATCTGGAGTGGTGATCACACACACACACACAGACATAAAAAAAAAACAACAAAACAAAAAACAAAAAAAAAAAAACGGATGGTTCATTTTGTCCCGGAGAAGCGTTTATGAATCATTCATACGCAAGACTCACTGTCGCAACAATTGGAAAATAACCACAAGGTAATGCGAAAGGAAGATTAGGCCGAAGGATTTATTTATTTATCTATCTTTTTTTCACGATTTCCATCTCACGGCTGAGATTGCAAGGTTACGAAGACGCCATTCCAATACACGGCCAAACTTTCACACTGACCTGTTGTGCATTATTAACAAAAGCCTTGTTATTTCAAGAAGTTTTCATGCCCCCGTGGATGTGGAAATCGCGATCGCTGCATCTCGACAAAGCCGCGTAGGTTGTTGCCTTTGTTGTGCTAATGCGGACGCGAACTTTGGCGCCAGCTCGTGTATTTGCCCAAGTTTTGTTTTTTTTTCCCTTTTTTTTAACCACAGCTCAATTCCTCTTGGATTGAATTGGCTTCTTGATACATTGGAAAAGCGGATACGACCTGTTGCAATTTGTAGTCTCTGGTCAATCTTGAGTTCCAAAGCACGCAGAGCCGATTTCACACCGGGTGAGAAAATGAGTAACAACGAAATGAGACCAAATAAGAAGAGCCTCCAGCCTCCAAAATGACATTTACATATATCAGCAGTCCAACGTAAAGTGATTTTCATGCTCCGCATAACACGTAGCAACGACCTTGGCAAAATGAGGCAATGAAGAAGGCCTTTCCGAACTGCCAACAAAAAACCCTTTGAATACGTTCCTCTCAATTGCAACATCCTGTTTTTGCGATTCCATGATTCAATTTGATTTTTGTTCTTTGTCTCTGCAATTCTTCACTCACCCCGAAAAAAAAATCACTCATTGAGAAGGCGCCGCCCTATCTTGCAAGGCTCTCTGCTCACTATGTAACTTGTCTCGATGTACCGGATGTACTTTTTACCAGGTCAGCATTGCAATTGACAATCCGTTCTTATTGCGCTTTCGCCCTTTTTCTGGACTATGGAGTCATCTGAACAAATTCCCTTCAGTATAAACGTGGCATTTACAGCCGTGTTTCTATCCTGCCATTAGCGATCTTCATTCATGGCGTCTCTCCGACTTCCTTTTCAGGATATGAACGACTTCTCCCCCGTCTTTAGCCAGCCCTTGTACAAAGGCATGGTGGCGCCCAACGCTGAGAAGGGGACGGTCATCACGACTGTGTTTGCAGAGGACCCCGACCCAGTGGTGAGGACATTAATTTGTAAACCTTCACGAAAAAAATTGTATTAGCTTGAATGGAGGGAAAGACCGAAATATATTTGAACGTAATCCCGATTCAAGCAACGAGCCCGCCTGTCCACAGCAAACGGTTGCCCCCTGGTCCGTCACACCTTATATCTCTGATTGGTTGTTTTTCCTCAGGCGTTGGTGGTTTCTTAGAGGAATAAGATGAGTTGGGTTTTTAACAGATATACTTTTAAAATATCAACGTTACACTGAAAGTTTTAACAAATGTGATACCGTATTTTCCACACTACAAGGCGCACTGAATTATGAGGCGCACCTTCAATGAATGGCCTATTTTGTCTTTTTTTTTCATATATTGGACGCACCGCGTTATAAGACGCAATCTACAATGCATCCACTAGATGGCACTACGCTCAAGCAAGTGCCAACAGAACACTCCGCTCCACTACACCCTGATTTACGTAGCGACGATCAGATGTCAGTAAAACTTATTTCATAAAGCAGCGACACAGTTCACTGAACCAACAGCAAGTTATGACATTGACTCGTTAACGTTGAACTCCCTTGCCGCTGCTCTATTTCCGTGTTCAACTGCGAAACCGATCGCCTTAAGTTTGAAATCTGCTTGCAAGCATGTCTCGAGCAAGGAGCCATTTTGGGGTCGAAATATTACCGCAATGACCATGTACAAGACGCATCAGATTTTAAGGCGCGCTGTGAGCTTTTAAGAAAATGGAAGGCATTTAAGTGCACCTTTTAGTGTGGAAAATACGATAATTTTGGGGGGTGGGGGGGAATTACTAAATCTCTCTTGAATTTAGCATTCGTGCTTTTGTACTTCACGGAAAGACTTCATTGTTAAATTTGCATGAAATTTGAATCACAAGTGCTGTACATTGGCTCAAATGTTGTTCTTCTTATGATAAAAATATAATAATATCTATTTATTCAACATAATACGGTTAAATGCCCAGTGAAATTTTTCAATTTGTATTATTTCCTGCAATCCCCAGCAACCAATGTGTGGAAAAGTACCGGAAATTATCCACACCTCTGCAATCTGAGATAATCTCCCGCTCCGCCACGACCTGTATGACAAGTGCTCTCGAAAATGCATTGGGCAAATGTTTGAATAGTGACCACAGGCAAGCTCCACGCCGCTCGTCGACGCCGACTGTGCATTTCCAGTTGTGTTTCTAATTAAAATGCGCCGTCTATACAATGTGGAACAAAGCCAGCAACCCACGTGTGCTTTTTCTTTCTTTTTTTTTTTTTTATGAACACATCTGAAAGAACGGCTCGGCGAGGTCTCGCTTCCTCACGACATGTCGCTCTTTCAACATCAGACGTTCTCATTTGTTCGCTTGTTTCACGCCAAGCACTTGAAAGTTCCTGCAAGCCTGCACGCTTTCATTTGTTTGTTCCGCACCCCCCCCCATGTACGCACGCATCTCCATTCTTCCTCACCGGTTCGGCTTTGACTTGCATGAGTCACCACCACCAGCCGTTAGCCCCTGACGGTGTCACACTTCAGAAAATATACATGCTTTGCGGGTTTTTTTTTTTTTTTCTTCTTCACTCTTTGGTGTCTGTGGAGTTTCTCCCAAGAGTGGAGCAATAATGACTTTGGTCTATTTTCTTCTGGAATCCATCAGTCACGAAGCGCAAGTTTCACCATGCAACCGAGAAGATGTCTGCCGCGCGTCGGTAACAAAACATTGTGATGAAAAACATTGAATTGAGCGAATGTTGTTTGTCACTCATTACAACTCAACTTTTTATTTGACACTCCCTTCATACTTCATACCGTGACTCATTGTCGTTCTTCGGGAATCATTAAAGGACACTCACAAGGTTGTTTCCGCCAGTTCTGGGGAGCCCCAACTTCCATTTTCTTTTATTATCAGCAGCCGTTCATGCTTGTGGGTCATCAGATTTCCGTTCATTTCAATGGGGAAGGATGATTTGAGATTTGAGTGTTTGCATGGTCAAGAAACAAAACTTGCATCTTAAGGCACCACCTCGGAGCAGGTTTTATTTTTTTTCACCTGACTCCACAGGCTCGATGTTAAATTCGAATTCTCTTTCCACTTGCCTCTGCCCAAGGCGTATGACTCTAAAACAACCTTTTCAAAACCTCCTCGGATATGAGAACACAACCCCCAGCATGTCGATGTGGTCGGCATACGTGAACGAATGAGCCTGTGACGCAAACGGGGCTTTGACTGACACACCAATTCGATTTCCTAACAGGAGTGGACTAACCCAGTCTCTTATTGACCTGGGGCTCAAAGCATTTTATTGATAGAGTGCCCGTCAAAGGCTAATACAATATGTATCACAGCCAGACGGCGTACTACGTCTCTGTCAAAAGTTCCGAACAGTTCGGACCATCCCTGTTAGCTTTGTGGGTAGACCGATATCTATCCAGTTTACACCTCGGGAGAAATGATGCTCGTGATGTCTAAAGGACTGTGTTTTCATCTAGTGCTCCATCACTCTGAAAGTGATTACCATGGAGACAAATGCTCCTGAATGCATGATTCCTGCTGGCCAAGTTTGAAAGGTCTGTTATTGATGACTGGGGGGGGGGGGGAAGAAAAAACATTGCGGGAGAAAATATACTCTTACTGTTTGGTCGAGAGCCGCCTATCTTTGTCATAGCGTTTTTAAAATGCATGTTTAATAAGATGGAGTGGGGCGGAAGAAGTAAATTGGGTTATTTAGCGCTTAACATTTAATTTCCCTCCCTCACTTACTGTAGATGTGAAGCCATCACAGATGCGCTCTTTGAGTACCGAACAGCCATGAATTTTATTTCCGCCATGGTAATAGAATAATGTGTCCACTGTGGAGCATTAAAAAAAAAAACAAATCAAGGAAAGGATGTCATGTATAATACTTGTTTGTTGTTGTTCAACTTTTTCAATATTTCGAAAGTATTTTTTCTGGAGCTACTTATATCTAAAAAATGTTGCCTTTGCAAAAGCCATACATACACCAGCAGTGGAAGGGGGGGAGTGAGCAGCTTTTTATTTTTATTTTTATTTTTGCATTAGACAGGATCAACCCGTCCAAACAGGCTAATTTTCACAGGGCAGTAAAATGTGTGCTTAAAAAAGAAAAAACAAACAAACATGTTTTTGTTTAATACTTGGCACGGTGGGTGACTGGTTAGCACATCCGCCTCACAGTGCAGAGGTGGTGGGTTCAATTCCGTGCCCTGGCCTTCTTGTGTGGAGTTTGCATATTCTTGTGAGTGTGAATTGTTGTTTGTTTATGTGTGCCCTGCGATAAGTGTGAATTGTTGTTTGTTTATGTGTGCCCTGCGATTGGCTGGTGACCAGTTTGGGGTTAAAAATTTGTTATTTTTCTTGCATGGAAAGCTCCATGCGGTTGGGAAATTATTTTGAGGTCCATCAATCTTGGTGACAAGTAAGAATCATGCCTCAAATCAGATGTAAATAAAAAAAATCATTATCCCAACCGGAAACCAAGGCAGGGGCACTTTATGAGTGATTGATAAGGGGTGTCAGTAAGCAACCAATCTGCTGAGTGATGGCTTTTTTTAATCCAAGAGACATCTGGACACATTGACACATCTCCAACTTCTATGAATATGACGGATGTGACTTTGTAAACAGATAAATATATGGTTCGTAAAAGACCCTTTTAAAGTGGTTTTATCAGTACTAGCTGTGAAAATTGGCCGTTTGTATCAGGAGAATAATTTGATGATTGGAAGTTAATGTAAAAATAGAACAATTATGTTTAGAACTCCAGCAAATAGTCAGACGAGGCTACGGTGATGCTAGCAAATAGTCTGACTATGCTACAGTGATGCTAGTTTGCCCGTGCCTGTGAGTCAGCTAACTGACTAACTTAAGATAATGATTTCCACTGTTCGCCGACCTCAAACGTGGACATAAAATGACCCGGATCACTCGCTTTTCTGGTAAATAAACTGTGAACTCAACTGGCCCTGGTTTTTATGAAGATTCAGTCACATTATCAAAGCTTCTGGAGCATTGTCAAACTAGTTATGCTAATCTGATTACATCTTGTTGTAGTGGTACTTACAAACTGTTAAAGATATGTTTTATACAAAACTGTTTTTGCAGCGTAGCCGTACTATAAATGGAAACATGTACTGTCTTGTAAATTCAAAAATTTGAAATGTTCTTCCAGTGATCTTCGCTCGCCTCTTTTCTGTCTGCTAACCAACCATTTTACGATGAACTCATGACAAATTAATGGACGAATACCAGCAAACTATTTGGCCGATTTAGAAGCATTTCTTGGATTTTTTTTTAGTCGTGTTAGCCGTAAAAATTAAATGACTAAATGTAATGTAATGGAAATTATAGTGATGCTTTTGACTATATGAGATGAGCACTCCAGCAACTAGTCTGACTCTGCCACATGGATTCCGTGAGCTAATACGCGTGCTGAAGCCAATGATTTTTATGATTTATTGATGACATGTAATCAGAAAGCAAACAATAAAATATTGAATTGATGAGATTACTCAGGCCGGTATATCATGTGTACATAATGCTAATTTGACCAACGCGGCAGCCATTATGATGGTTATACGAGACAGTGCAAACATTATTCTTGAGTTTTATTGTTGATCCACTCTGACAATCTTTTCCATTGTCCTGCAAATCCCCCTTGAGAAGGTTTCCTATCCCCATAAAAACTAGTGTGTAAAAAGAGCCCCTCGGGGACATGTTCATACTTTATCTGTTGTCAATGTCGTCTCCAGGCTGGCCATTCCTCGAGGCAACAGATCTTATTGAAAGGGGGGGTGGGGGGGAGTCCATTATTAAAAGATCAGTTCTGTCCTTACGGAGGAAAGTAGTCTACGGAAAACTATAAAGATGATCTGCAATCAGGAAGTGTGTTTAATCTTAATCCAAGTGTCACCGTTAACGCTCGGCGCCAACTAATTATTAATGCGAGTGATTTATTACCGCGACTGTAGGGATGAATTTATCGGTAATAAAAAATCGGTTCCCACTTTTTCAATAACATTGAACCCAAGAACTCTGAATTCATCAATAACATTTGATTTATACAAGGCAGTGCAATCAAGGGCTGACGGTTAAGAGCAATGAGATATAAAATTCATCATTCCGAGTCATTATTTATTTATTGATTTATTTTTTTTAAAGAATATTCAGCAAAAGTGTCTCAAAATTTGGAAATAATCCAATAATCTGTTCCCATTTTTGTACTGAACAGCCAGAACCTCCATTTCTCATGTCACAATAAGTTCAATTAGAGCTTCTCTGGCAGTTATCAACAGCGGTTTGACCTCAGAATTTGCAGTTTATATATTTTGGGGTCAAGTTCCGAATATAAACAAATTGAACTTGAGGTTCCACTGTACAAAAATAAAATGAAGACCACCTTTTCTCTTATTTAACATTCTGAAGATCCAATTTAGGTAGAACCTGTGATCTACCTGTCTGGTCCAACAGTTGCTTTGTTTTCGAGGGCTCCAGCAACATTTTGTGACCTGCCATAATCTCCTTTTCTGATTTTTGTGCGTTTCAGGGCACTCCAGCCAGTTTTGTGCGCTACAGAGTAGACCAAGACAAGTCGCCGTATAGCGGTAGCATCTTTGATGTGGAAGAAGTGACCGGAAGGATTGTCACCAAGGTCAACCTCAATGAGGAGCCCAGCCTTACTTTTAAAGTGAGTAGAGGCTACAGCATTTATACTTTCTGATGGAGGGATGGGTACAGTAGATTACAAGACTGATGGATGGACAGATGAAGTGACGTGATTGTGATTGAAATTTTTTGCCATTGTCGCGAAGAAAGACCATGACAATGCAGACCAACTTCTCTCCATATATCCAAAAGTAATTTCTGTCGACAGCCAGAACCGGCACTAACTCTGCAGTGAGAAGTGGATCGAAAATATCGAAAGGTAGAACAAAATCCAGAAAAATCCAACCTGTGAGGGATCATTTCGGCTTTCTTGTGGACTGCAACTGGGTCCACAGACCACCACGTTGAAAACTATTACCCTCGAAAAAAAATATTTTCCCCAAATTGCCAGTTACACTACTGAGATGTCGAAAAAAAAAAAGATTGTTTTGTTTTAGTCAGTTAGCACATTTGCAGTCAGTCGGCAAGTTGCCCATTTTTTTAATGTCAGGCTCTTTAACCCTTTCAGGGACAGCGGTTACTAGAGTTCAAATGTTTAATCTTAATGTCAGAGTTGGGCATCAACCACTACAATGAAAACCTTTTGTGTGTTGCCATCCACTGCCATTATTTTTTTTTTCCATGCTGAAAGACTAACAAAAGAAAATTCGGATGTAGGTTATCATTATTTGTGGTTCATGGCACATCTGGCACTTTGTAAATGGCACATCCGGCACTTTGTAAATGTGGCTATTAGCGTCACTGCTACATAGTGATGATCCGATCAAGTTTTTGGACCAGCGTTACCTGTTTATTGGATATCATTTTATCCTGGCGTCTACAAGCAGGGATTGAACACTCGCAGCTTGTTATATCAGGCCATCATCACAAGGTGACTTGTCCTGTTTATTTGTTATTTTTAAAGATATGTTTTTTTTTTTTTTTAAAGAGAGAAGCAGGCGCTCTCAGGACACTTGGTTGTAATGAGACACTGGCTCATTACAACTCAGACACTGCGTTGCGACAAAAATGTTCCCACTCCTTCATGTGCTTGTAAAACGAATGATGGTGGCTGTTGTAAACAGCGTGTAATATCTGGCCACTGTGTGTGTGCGTGCGTGCGTGCAGTTGTTTGTCATCGCCTTTGACGACGGCGAGCCGGTGAAGACGAATAGCACCTTGGTGGAGATCACCGTCCTTCAGCCCTCGCGCATTCCCATCTTCACGCAGGAGGAGTACAGGTGCGTGCGCGTTTGTTATGATAGTTCGACGTGCTCAAATTCATAATCACCTGCTCGATCAAATATTTATCGCCGTGCGTTCCCTCATTTGGGATTAATAATGTGCGTCGACTACTTTGTCCGACATTCTGCTCCTGTGTCATTGTCATGCTCTCTTTTTGCCACATTAATTTTCCAGTACGGAGTGAATTTTGCTGAGCACCCCCCCATCCCCTTTTGCGGTTAACAGCTGCTTGCTATTTAGGTTTTTCATAAATGTCTCTTGAATTTGAGGAATTTATTACAAAGTTTTATTGGAATCAGTGGTTGGTGAGGTTTTTTTTTTGTTTTGTTTTTTTTAAACCTCATTTGAATCACATCTACATGAATACCGTGCGTCACACGAAGCATATCAAGACGGGATTTGCTTTCCTGCCATGTTTGCTCCCGCGCAGCCTCATCAACAAATTCTTTTTCTTCGAGTGAGTTCTGTCCTGTATCATTGTTCAATATCCTTCCATCCACCCATTTTCCGATCTGCTTCATCCTCCCAAGGGTGGCGGGGTGTGCTGGAGCCTATCCCAGCTGTTTCGCGCTCACCCTCACACCTAGGGACAATTCAGAGAGTTCAATCAGCCTGCCACGCACGTTTTTGGAATGGGGTAGGAAACCGGAATACCCGGAGAAAAGTCACGCAGGTGAATATGCAAACTCCACACAGGGAGCCCGGAGCTGGAATTGAACCCTCTACCCCTGAACTGTGAGGTCAACGCGCCTGTTCGATATTCATTATCTTTAATATAACCTCATAGAAAGAAGTCCAAGGGAGTGATATCTGCTAAACGCGGGTGGCAAGGAATTGGCCCGTCCCTTCCAATACACCGCTCACTTTGTCCGACATTCTGCTCCTGTGTCATTGTCATGCTCTCTTTTTGCCACATTAATTTTCCAGTACGAGTGAATTTTGCTGAGCACCCCCTCCCCCTTGCGGTTAACAGCTGCTTGCTATTTAGGGTGATCATCAATGTCTCTTTTGAATTTGAGGAATTTATTACAAAGGCAAGTTGTTTTATTGGAATCAGTGGTTGGTGAGTTTGTTTTTTTTTTTTTTTTTTTTTTTTAACCTCATTTGAATCACCTCTCCATGAAGATCGTGCGTTGCATGAAGCATATCAAGACGGGACTCGGTTTCCTGCCATCTTTGCTCTCGCGCAGCCTCATCAACGAATTCTTTTTCTCCGAGTGAGTTCTGTCCTGTATCATTGTTCAATATCCATCCATCCATCCATTTTCCGATCTGCTTCATCCTCCCAAGGGTGGCGGGGTGTGCTGGAGCCTATCCCAGCTGTTTCGCGCTCACCCTCACACCGAGGGACAATTCAGAGAGTTCAATCAGCCTGCCATGTATGTTTTTGGAATGGGGTAGGAAACCGGAATACCCGGAGAAAAGTCACGCAGGTGAATATGCAAACTCCACACAGGGAGCCCGGAGCTGGAATTGAACCCTCTACCCCTGAACTGTGAGGTCAACGCACCTGTTCAATATCCATTATCTTTAATATAACCCCATAGAAAGAAGTGCAAGGGAGTGATATCTGCTAAACGCGGGTGGCAAGGAATTGGCCCGTCCCTTCCAATACACCGGTCTGAAAATGGTCCTTGTTCCATTTCAAAACAAACTGGTCCATGGCGCATAAAAGAACAGTGAGAACTGACTTGCTCTCTCGCATTTCATTGATCAATATTATTATAAAGAGCCTTTTTTGGCAGGCTTAAGCGTCGACACACTATAACTGTCAGAAAGGTCAAAACTTCTCTTTGTTTCTCTGGGATGCTGATGGGCTGCCGCGCGAGGCGGCGCGCGTCCAAGCGCGGTCCGACAAAAGGCTGATGTTGCAGTGACTCAGGAGGAGTCCGCACGGTGATTTATAATTAATCCCCGCATAGATTATTAACACTCCATCTGAAGCGGCTTTGAAGCACTCGCTCGTTATGTGCCGGCGCCGCATAATGTTCCCCGTCGCATACTTGCAGTCGGCACCTGTCTGAGGTGATTCCCAGTCGGCTGAGGCACCGGAGGACTGACGGCAAAGTTGGCTCCGGCGGGGCTTAATGGGAGAAGTCGTTTTAAGTGGATTGATTTTCGAGCTGGCGTGTCACTCAGCGTAGGCAGACGAGCCGCCGTAACTGAATTTGACGTGTTATTAATTCTCGGATAGGCAGGCTGAAGGCATGACACAGCTGTCGACACAATGACGGAGTTGCGAGCGTCTGTGCGCAAATATGCCCATCCGGTATTCTTTTGTGGTTTTTCCCTACGGTTACCGGTCCCAACATGAGGTTACAACCGCATGATCGAATGACGTCCTACATGAGAGCTGTACCTCCCCCACCATCTGCCTTGACTATAAAATGCTCGGCTGTGGATGCTCGCCACTGACGTGCATCTCCGAAGTCAGCGCTTAACAAGCATCACTGCAGTTAATCGCTTTTCCATTCATAGGAAAGGCAGAAGGTTAAAAAAAAAAAAAGTATTAGATATTATATCGTTACATGTTGGAGCGCTTCCACAATAACACAGAGGCGGGCAAAGATCCAGAGCCACTTTCAAGTGACAGCTGGAGTCAGCTGGGAACGGCTCCGTTTGAAAAACCTGTTCAATATCCATTATCTTTAATATAACCCCATAGAAAGAAGTGCAAGGGAGTGATATCTGCTAAACGCGGGTGGCAAGGAATTGGCCCGTCCCTTCCAATACACCGGTCTGAAAATGGTCCTTGTTCCATTTCAAAACAAACTGGTCCATGGCGCATAAAAGAACAGTGAGAACTGACTTGCTCTCTCGCATTTCATTGATCAATATTATTATAAAGAGCCTTTTTTGGCAGGCTTAAGCGTCGACACACTATAACTGTCAGAAAGGTCAAAACTTCTCTTTGTTTCTCTGGGATGCTGACGGGCTGCCGCGCGAGGCGGCGCGCATCCAAGCGCGGTCCGACAAAAGGCTGATGTTGCAGTGACTCAGGAGGAGTCCGCACGGCGCTTTATAATTA